TGGCAACCTTCCCAGCTAGCTTCATGTAATGTTGGTGAGGTTTCCAGGGGATGAGGAGGAAGGAGAAGGTAGCAAGAGCTACACTGGATAAGCTACAGCTGCCCCAAACAGACCCTAAGGCCTCGTTTGGGACAACTTAAAACAGCGGGCGGCGCCCTAGTGTTTGTAATCCACCTTTTATGTGCGTTTTGAAAACCGCGCTGTAAAATTGTATTTATTTTCTTGTTGTTTTTTAGTTCTTTGTATAATATACATTTTGTTGCAATTGTTATGTTGCTGAGTGTTAGACATGTAAAATTGTTACATACATGATCTATATTCGAAAACAATCTATTTAAAATATAATTTTTTTTGTGTTAGACATGTCAAATTATAAATACAAAAGAATTAAGTGGTATGAGTGAAAATCCAGAGAGAGAGAGAGAATTTCGAATATTTCGAACATTTCGAACATTTCGAACATTACGAATTCGAACGATTCGAACGATTCGAACAATTCGAACAATTCGAACAAAAACGAACCGAACACGAACAGACTCTTCACGAACAATTTCGAACACGAGCCTATTTCAAACAAATTATATTTCAAACGAACCGAACACGAACATGAGTACTGTTCGTTCGTGTTCGGCTCGTTTACACCCCTAAGCAAGGGCTACTTGAGAGAAGTTAAAATTTTTGCTTTAATTTGCTTAATTAAAAACTCTGTACTAGATAGCAATTGATGCGAATATTTTTAAGTTTAAGTTATTCTTAATTTAATTTAATATAAGTTAATTATAATAAATATAATTGATTATCATTTAATGATTAGATAAAATGATATCTTAAGTTAATTTTAATTTTATTAATTTAATTACAATTGATATATGCTTGGTAAATAATTGATTCATGTTTAATTAATGAAAGTTGAAGTATTGATTAATGTTTGATTAGTTTTGTAAATTCTAATTAATGATTATATAACTTAATAAATAACTAATTAATGATTAATGATTAATAATAAATTATTAATTAGTTAAAAAAAATTCTTATTAATCATTAATTTGATAAATTGTTAATTTACTTAAAAAAACATGCAGATAAGTTGTTTTCGAAACACTCTAACCAAACAACTAAATAACTTATTCAAAACAGGAGCATAATGATCATTTATTAAGAATCAGCTATTTTCCAAACACGGAAACCAAACAACCAGACAGCTTATTCGGATTAGCTGCTCGTCAGCAGATTATCAGGAAAAATTGTTTATCAGCAGAAGCTGGATAAGCTGCAG